AAAGAAAGAAAGAAAGAAAGAAGAAAGAAAAAGAAAAGGAGGGAGGGAGGGAGGAAAGAAGGAAAAGATGATTATTTTTAAATGAAGATATTTTATAAACTGTATGGTATCATACCAATATAAAGTAACATTTGGTTAATTAGCTGAACACTGAAGTAAAAAATATGTGAAATGGTGACAATTGATTTGACCTTGGCCTTGAAGGAATTAGTAGAAAAAGTCCTTGAGCCAGAACTCTCAATGATCACCTGGTCCTGCTTAACAGAGCCGCGCTGGAGAGCGGACCCACAGACTCAGAACTATGCTTGCCTCCTGCGTTACCCAACAGAAATGGATGTGTGACCTGCAGCCAATCGATCAAACAGAATACTGCTTGCAGACAGAGAAAACCGAGAGCGTCTTCAAAACGCACACCCACCCCCACCACTCATTACCCTATAAGTCACACACAGGGGACTACAAGATTCACAGTTTGTATTAAACCACGATCAGTTTGTCATTCCCAGAAATCGCTAGGAAAACAAAAGAACAAAATTGATGAAATAAATAAATGAAATAACCCGAGTCACACGGTATTAGAAAGATACATCTTCATACATGAGTCACAAAAATTTATCACCCTTTCAGCATGTAGTATTCTGCATCACCATATATTATCATGTAGTTTACTGTTATGTCTTTGCAGGGTTACCGTGCTTGGAATGCATAAAACTTGTGTCCTCGTTTTGATGGTAAGCTCCCTCCAATACATGTTGGAAGTAGATGGGATTTCAATCAAATATCAATGAAATATGTAAGAGCCATTGCATCTTTGTGTGGTTGAATGAAGATGAGTAGCTCCAGCGTCCCTGCACTAGTTCTAAAGATGAGAGAACCGAGCACAACTTGGTGGCCGAATTCTCACCAGGATCATTCTATCCCCATTTAAGAGACAAAGTGCCCGCGCTTTAATGATGAAACATAGTGTTGTCTATGCATTAACTTAATGAAGGTCTTTTTAAAATTTTCATGAATTGTTCTCCGTAAGCATCACAGATGTCATTCCTATTTTTGAGATGAGGAGCTTGAGGCTTGGAGAAGTCACAAGACTTGCTGTATGAGTTGGCTCAGAACAGCAGAAATTTCTACTCTGTTGTGTCCACAGGACAGGCGTCCCAAATCAAGGTGTCAGCAGGGTCATGTTCCCTCTGCGACCAGGGGTAGGTGGATCCTTTGCCTCCCGCAGCTCCCCAGGCACTCCCTGGTCTGCAGCTGCTCATTCCGGGTCCACCTTTGTCTTCACGTGGCTTCTGTGTCTGTTTCTGCACAGCCGCCTTCTTAGATAACTTATCAGACATTTTGGATTAGGGGTCACCCTACTCCAGTGTGACCTCATCTTACCTGGATTAATTGTATCTGCAACAACCTCATGTCCAGCTACAGTCACACTCAGAAGTACTGAGGGTTAGGACTTCAACCTGTCTTTGGAGGGAAACAGAATTCAACCCATAGCACTTACTCTAAAATCATCAAACAGATTAATGGCCTGTTGTGATCAGAAGTGTGATCTCACACCTAATTCTTCCTACGCCCTTTCCCCAGAAAAGGTATCTGGGACTAGGGACGTAGGAGAGGGATGGTGGGCATATCCACGCGTTGTACAGTACTGAGCAACCCCGGACCCGTGCGAGTAACTCAGCATTGTTTGGGCAAGGAAGAGACAATGTGAGCCAACGAGAGCAACAGTGGTTCCAGTATCACATGGATGACATTCTCCTGGCCATGCAGACCAACAAAACAAATGGCCAACCCATCAGACAAGAAAAAGAAATATGGATTGATAGAGAAGTGTTGGTCCATGGTAAGTACTGTGTAGAGAAGTAACTGTATCCGTGAATGGGGCACGTCTACTGCTCCTCAGCTGGGCAGTCTGGGTGCAACGAATGTGGATGGGCTCACTGAGGTCCCTTCAGCAGGTGGCTTGTGCAACCCCCTCAGGGCAATTTACTAGTCTTACACTGTCACAGTTTACAAGTAGAAGATCTCATGACTGTTCAGTCACAGAAGCCCCACCATGACCTCAGAAGCATACTATGGTGGGCTCCGTGTCAATCCCCCTCTCCGTGCCAACAACACCTACCCAAGCTTGTGCAGCGTTTGTGCTGTGGTCCAGTCCCGCCATGCCACGTTCTACTGCGGAAACTGTGAATCTACTCCAGGACCCTTACTGGATTATATGTTTGGAAAATTAACAACTGAACTCAACATCACCTAAATCTGTGTGTCTTTTATGAAATGGAGATAAAGCAGGATCCCAACTAGGACCTGCTCTGCATCCACCGTTGCTCCTTTCATGATGTCTCTGGTCTCCTCCTTCCTACATCCAAGGCTGGTCATGCCTCTTGCTCTATTCCTTAGCCTTCTTCATCTCTTCTAAGATCTTGCCTCAGTGGTGGCTCCACACACAAATCCAATCTCTCGCTGTCCAGCAAATTGAGTTTGCATGCGTGCGCATATGCAACCTTCCAGAAATCATTACCCCTGATAAGCATGACCCTCTGGGTTAGCCAGGGAAGGCAAATTAAAAACAAGGATAATGTCAGCTTGAAGAATCTAGGAAACATTATTGCCTTCATAGGTATTCTCCATGATATGGGAATTAAGTAATATCCTGGGCCCAGACTGGCTCAGAGAGAGAGGCTTCCCAGGATTTTATAAAAATCAAAATTTCAAGAAATTCTAAAGTATGTCTTTTTCAATTCAACCTTCTCCCTGGTATAAGAGTTCAGTGACCCCACACTCGCAGGCCTGGTGGGGCTCAGGGGAACTTGGCTGAAGAGAGCTTGCCCTCCGAGGTCTCTTTTCTATGTGCAAATCTGACCTCTTCATGCCCCCTGTGGAACCCCAGTGCTTTCCCCACTGTGGGCTAGTTAGCAGTCAACATCTGATGGCATCCTTAACAGAGATATTCCAGATCAATTAAGAAGGAAGACAATGTTCAAAGAGAGGAGTATGCGGATGTCTGGACATTCAAAACCCAACTGACTCGAAGAAATTTCTAGCATCGGATAAGGAAGGAGTCAAGTAAGAAAGGGTCTGCACACCGGAATTTACCACAGGATGAGCTCAGCATTGCCCTATTTTTCCCCTTCACTTCATATCAAACTTCTTGAAGGAGGGGTCATGGCTGTCAACTTCCTCATCTCCTTCCGCATTGGACGGGAGTCTTGTTTCTGTTCTTATTAAACCATCGACACTTGTCACTTCCCCAAAACCCATCATTTACATGATAGTTCTCCTGCCTCTGGCAGGAAACACTTTTCCAACCTCTAAAAACTCTGTCTTTGATTCGGGACAACATTAAATTTCCTCATGTCACTCACACGACTCTCTCGCAGTTTCTCTCCTAGATTTGTCCTTTGTCTGACCTCTTAGATGTTGGTGTACTCCAAGGACCTCTGCCCTTCTCACCTTGCAGACCGGGCTGTGAGACTTGGCAACTGTGGGATGAGCTGTACAGCCTGGGGCAACTGACTTACCTTCTCTCAGCCACTACATACCCCATTACAACTTGGAGATGACATCAGAACCAACCTCAGTGGCTACCATGTGGGTCAAAAAGGCAAAGCCCACGGAGCATGGGGCGAGCAGGGAAGATGTGTGATGTTCCCTCTTGCATCCATGCTTTCCTTCTTCATCAACTGTCTTCCCTCCCCACCCTCATCAGCTTGTGGGACTTCCCTCCCCACCCTCATCAGCTTGTGGGACTTCCCTCCCCACCCTCATCAGCTTGTGGGACTTCTCCTCCTCACGTGTCCCCTCAGCCACCATTGCTCAGAGAGGTGGGGCGCCATTCCCCCCCTTCCTCCTCTGTGACAGAGTGAAGTGCCCCCCACCCAAATCTCCACTTCCCCTTCGCCCAGCTCTCCCGTAATGTGGTCATTTCTTGTTCCTGAACTCTTTTGCTTTATCCTTCTGGCTGGTCTCCCTTCATAGACTGTGAGATTCTTAAGGGCCAGAGATTCGATCTTGTCCTATCTTGTTTGCAGCCCAGAGTGATGGGAACCCCACACGTGTTGAGTGTTGGGTTAGTTCTCTATCGATGCAGAACAAATGACCCCATATTTAGCAGCAGGTATTAGTCAGCTCAGACTTCCATAGCAAAGTGCCATAGACCGGGTGGCTTAAACAACAGGCATTCGTTGTCTCCCAGTTCTGGAGGCCAGAAGTCCAAGATCAAGGTGCGGGCATGTGTGTGCTCACCTGAGCCTCTCTCCTTGGCTTGCAGGCGGCTGCCTTCTTCCCGCGTCCTTGCACGGGCTTCCTCTGCATGCCCACAGTTCTGCTATCCCTCTTTTCACAAGGACACCAGTCCTCTTGGACCGGGGCTTCTGCCTTACGACCTCAGTTCACCTTGATCACCTCCTAAAAGACCCCATCTCCAAACACAGTCACATCGGGGTCAGAGCAGCAAACTATGAATTTGGGGTGGGGGACATAACTCAGTCTCAAACATACTTGAACAGCATTTATTACTCATGGTTCCTGTGCATCAGGAACCCGGGCTTGCTGGTCTGGTCCTCTGGCTTGGACTCTCAGGCTGTGACCAAGATGTCAACGTCCAGGGAAGCAGTCATCCCAAACTCCACGGAGAAGCTCCCTGCTGAGCTCACTCTCAGGGAGTTGGATCGAGGGCCTCGGTTCCCTGCAGGCACAGGCTGGGTGCGCCCTCGGGCCCTGTCCTCTGGACCCCTCTGGCTTCATCAGAGCAAGCGCTTGAGGAGAGAGAGAAGAGAGATGGGCAGCACACAGTGTCACCGCCCCACCACCTCAGTGCGGAGTCTGGCCTGCCACACCCCTACTGCACGGGCTCTGCTCATTGGGAGCTGCGACCAAGTCCAGCCACAGTCAGGGCTGGGGGCTGGAGGCTACAGAAGACCGGAATCCAGCGGTGGGGCCACTGGGGCCCCTGCAGGAGAGCTGCACACAGCTGCCCACCCTGCAGCGGGGGGAGGGGTCAGGCTACGCTGGGACACCACGACGTAATCACAGGGACGACCGTAATGAGAACAGTGTCGTAGTTTTCCCCATGGCTCTGTTTAAAGTGCACAGAGTACTTTCTTTTTTTTTTTTTTAAGATTTTATTTATTTATTTGACAGAGAGAGAGACACAGCGAGAGAGGGAACACAAGCAGGGGGAGTGGGAGAGGGAGAAGCCGACTCCGCATTGAGCAGGGAGCCCGATGCAGGGCTCGATCCCAGGACCCCGGGATCATGACCTGAGCCGAAGGCAGATGTTTAACGACTGAGCCACCCAGGCGTACCCAGAGTACTTTCTGAAAGATCATTTCTAAGAAATTGGGCTTTTGGCAGAACATAACACCTCAATCACAAGAGCCTGGAATAAAATGAAAAATCATGAGAAGGTCTGGACATGCAGTACTCACACCTGGTTGAGGCGACACTAGGCCTGTCCCTCCTTTCTCGTAGCAGGTGGATAGGCCATGAGTGGCGGGCTCAAAGGCAGCTCTCAGGAAGGCCAGGGGCCCTCTGTGCTGAGCTGCAAAGGGCCAGGGGTCCGCCTCTCCAGGTGAGATTAAAGTGACAGGTATGTGTGCTTTAGGAAACCTTTATATTACAAGCACATTGTGAACCCAGAATTGTACATTTTCTGGTCAGCTATGATATGTAGTTTTTTTGAGTTATTAAATATTCATTACTAAATATTTAATATTTGCCAGGGTTGTTTTTTCATGCAAACTAATTATGTGCAAGGCCTTTTATTGCCAAGAACTATAGCCTGGTAAAACTAATTAGCATGACAATAAATGCCCCTCGTCTAAGGAGGGTTATGAAAGATCAGGATAAATATTTAATTTTAATGCTGTTTGGAAGCTTTTCCCGATTATACAGGAAGCTCTATGCAGGGGCCGTAGACGCTCCTTCACAGTAAACAAGTGGCACAGAGCACAGAGCATGTCACTAAGGCAAAGTGTGCTTTGCCAGAGTGTTTATCTGCACCTGTTATGGGTCGAATTGCGTCCCCCTCAAAAGAGATGTGATGGAGTCCTCTAACTCCCAAAACTCAGAAACTGATCTTTTTGGAAGGTGATGGAGTTTAGATGAGGTCATTAGGGTGCACCCTAATCCAAGAAAGGGGACATTTGGACCCAGATGCACACGCCAGACAGCATCACGGAGACTGCCAGCCAGCCCCCACACACGGGCAGGTGCACGCGAGCAGGGCCGGGTTCCCCTCACAGCCTCGGGAAGAACCCCATCTGTCCTCACCCTGGACTTAGACTTCCGTCTTCCAGAACTGGGAGAGAATAAACCTCTGTTGTGTCAGGTCTGCCATCCGGTCTGTGGTCCCCAGAACACGGACGTGATGCCTCCACTCAAAGGCCAAGGCTCTGGAATCGAGGGCCAGACTCATTTTGGATCAATGCCTTTACCCTCTGACTCCCTCTTGTTGTTGGAAGCCTCCCAGACCCCGTCTGCAGACCCCCGGCGTGAACTGCCCTCTTGTCATGCTGTTTCGCTCCCGGAATTAAGGAGAGTACCTCTCCTGGGATTTGGCCTCCAGATGGGCCCTTTTCACCACCTGCTGGTTGCATCATTTTACCTTCAGCTTCTTAGACTCTGAACATACTAAATAGAAGGGCTCGAGCGAAGAGATTTATAGCAACAGTAAGTCTTCCTGGCCATGCCCGAGGTGACATAAGGATCCAGGGAAAGAAGAAAGCCTCCAGAGACATTGCACCTATGTCACGAGAGACCAGCTGGACTCAAAAAGGAAGGAAGACAAGAAAATGCAACGAAATGTACACATTTCTTTATCCGCTCCACGGAGAAGCGCGTTCTGGGCACATACTTTTGGTCAGATATCATGCCAGGTATTGAGGGCAGGAAAAAAAAGACAAATTCTCAGTTGAGTACTTCCAGTCTGTTTCACCTCCTCAGTCGTGATTTCCCAGCGGCTTCAGACACAGAGCATCTCCCCTGGGACGGGAAAGGGGTTGGGATTCCCTCCCTCCGGCCCCAGCCGCTCGGACCAGGGAGGCGACCTGCCTCAGCTGAAGAAGAGCCTTCCCGTTGTGATGTCTGGGCTAAGCCCGGGGAAACGAGCCCCCGTCCTACTGAACAATGACCTTGGCTCCTTACCCACTTGGTGAAATCCATCTGATAGTGTCTCAGCTTTCCATCCCCTTGGTCTGTTCTAAGCTTTGCTGTGAAGTGTTAACATCCCACCTTTAAACTCCAGTGCCTATTAAAAGTCACTGTTATGAAAGAAAAGCCCCCCCATGTGTGTGCGCACGCGCACACGTGCCCGTGTGTGTGTGTGTCCTTGCACACCCATCCTGTATACAAAGAGTCTACAGCCAATGTGTCATGGCAAGAGGCAGGCTAATTTTTTTTAAAGATTTTATTTATTATTTGACACAGAGAGACAGAGCGAGAGAGGGAACACAAGCAGGGGGAGTGGGAGAGGGAGAAGCAGGTCTCCCGCGGAGCAGGGACCCCGATGCGGGGCTCGATCCCAGGACCCTGGGATCATGACCTGAGCCGAAGGCAGACTCCCAACGACTGAGCCACCCAGGGGCCCCGAGGCAGGCTAATTCTTTAAAGATCACTAAAATAGTAATAAGTCGCCAGAACGCTAACGTATAGTCAACACACGTTACTGTATTTACATAGCCACCTGCCCGCCCCAGTGACATCGCCGAGCACCTGGGCAGGGGGAGAAAACAGCACCCTGCACACATACGTTGCTCCTTCCTTTGTTCTGACTCCACCGCTGCCTGATTTTGAACAGCCTTGGCCCGGTGTGTTATGTTCTCCTCTCCATCCAGGCAGCAGGAGATGTAAAAAGGTACAGAAAATGCTAGACTCTGCCAGGGGCGGCAGAGGCAGTGGCAAAAATAGAAAAATCCATTCAAAGCATGTGGGCCACCCATCTCAGCATCCCCAAGTTGGAGTCGGCTGCAGGGGGGCGGAATGCAAGCAGAGCGCGGTGGACTTCTCACCATGCCTCTTGTTCATCCTGCGGGCCTGGGGACCTGAGCGGCCCTGGCTCATCTGGTAGGATGGCTCCAGCTCCTCCGGGCACCTGCACCCCAGACAGGAGCCCCTGATGCACAGGACATGCCAGCCTGGAAAAGGTCTTCCCGGGGCTCCCTGCTCCTCTCCAGACTCCCCAGGGAAAAGCTCACACTTTTGCTTGCGCCTCCTGCCCCAGCTGGCATCCTGGGCATGAACAGCACTTGGGCCCGCTCAGTCGACTCTGCCGAAATGACACCTCAGCCTGCAAGTCAGAGGACCCCTCTGCCCTCCCCTTAAGGAGGGACCTCCAGGGCAACAGGAAGAGGCAGCCACCACGGCGGGGCACAGACGCCGCCGCCCCATGGGGAGGTCCTCGAGGGAAGGGTGGCGCCCCCCCACGTACCTGGTACCCAGCTCATGGCCGTCCCTCCTGTCCCCCTTCCCTTGACCGTGGGCACAACCTTTCCCGGTTCCTGGGGTTGCTGTTGGGAGCCTCCGCCTTGTCCCCAGTGTCCTCACCCCACTGTGTCCTAAAAAAGCATCCCCAGCATAATGGGAGGCCAAGACTAAAGGCAGCAGCCCCCCACATTCAATTTCCCGGCTCAAGACAGCCCACCCTATTCCCCAGGTCCTCCCGTTCTCGTTGGAAGAGACTGGAGGATGAAACGCACCTGTGTGGAGCACCTGCCAGGTGCCAGGCGCCTATCACGTGCCATAAGCCTTATGTCCCAGGCCTCGCCGGGACTGTGTCACCCTGCCATGTCCCCGTCACCCCGCTGTGTCCCCCACAGGCGGCTGGAGGGTAGTCAGTGCAATGCCTGCCACTGCTTTTCCTCCTCTCGCCAAGGCGGCAGGCGGTAGGGTCTCCCCACGGCTGCACCCTCTTCTCCATTTCATCTTTCTGCCCCTGCTCCCAGGAGTCACGGCACCTGGGAAGACGCACACCGGCAGCTTCCCAGCATCTGTCCCCAGCATCTGTGCGCAAAAGTCCAGGGACTGGTCCAGGAAAGCAGGACCTTTGCTGGAAAGGTGGGGGTAGAAGAGATGGACAGGGCCACCTGCAAAGGCTATCCTCTGTTCTGTGCTAAGTGCTATACACACCCCCATCTTACAGAAAGTTAGTTACTCAAGCCCCATGTCCAGAAGAGGCTCATCGGTCTGACTTGAAAGTCCTCTAAGAGTAGGGGTCCAATCACTTTTATCTGCGGAATTCCTTTGCAAAGAAGTCCTTCCTGTGTTCCCTCCCAGAGCACCTGTGCCCATCTACTGGGCAGGAGGAACTAGAATCAGGAGCCCCCCGACCCCTGGGCTGGACGTCAGTGGAAGACAGGGCGTGTGACTGTAGAAATTATGTATGTGGCTAGCGGTAGTGTACTTGTTAATTTACACTTCTGTTTTATTAAGAAAAATGTTTTAGAAACAATGTTTTATTGGGTCAGTTGTGTGCGGGGCAATATTGAACCGCTGTGCACATAAAACCATCCCAACATTCCAGCGTAACAGGCAAAGTGTCTACTTTGATACAAGTTTCCCACTTCTAAGCAAATATTTTATATATATTTAATCATTGTTTCTGGGTGGTATTGCCTTTTACATTTGGTATTGCCTTTCAAGCATTTACCATATTATTTCAATATTATTCTACCTACAGTTACATATTATTGTGAAGTTTCCATAATCGTTAAACAGACAGCCCAGTTTTCCGCTAGACAAATAGTTGTGTTTTTAACTGTTCCTCTACTTTTTTCCCTTTTTGTCTTATAGATCGCTCCAGTAAACATACTTCTTCATCAAGCTTCTTTTTCCTAATTAGAGGTACTACCTTAGGATGCATTCCAGAAAAGCAATTACTGGACCAAAGGACATCTTGACTTAATCACTATCTAGAAGGCTGTGCCATCCTACCCCACGAGTGGATGAGAAATCTATTTCACAGAACTATCATCTGTATTATTAGCATTCAAAAAATTTTTGCCATTTGATAAGTGAAAAAAATTATGTGT